GTTGTTCGCGGCCTAGGCATTATTCGTCATGGGTTGGTCGTCTTCGGGAACGGGTGTGGCTCCGACCGGGGCGGTGGCTGGTACTTGAATTATTGAAATTGGCTCTTGGGCGGGTGCGGCAGGTGGGTCTTGGGCGAGTGGGGCGTTTTCCTTTCCTTTGTTAAGGAATCGGCGTTTGACTCTTTCGGGGCATGCTGGATCGGAGGCCTTATGAATTCCTTTGCAATTCAGACATCTGATTGGGGTGTGGGTGCATCTATATCCTCCCTGGCATTGGTTGCATGGGTGGAAGCTGGTGAGGTGATCTCCGGCACAATGACCGCATCTCCCATTGTTCTTGCATTTCTCCTGGCGGTGACCGTACTCGAGGCACTTCGCGCACTGGGTGTCTGGGAAGGTTGGGAGGAAAGCCTCGATGTGGCAGCTTCGGTTAAAGAGGGATAGGAACTTAACTCCTAGTGTTTCCATTGTAACTTGTCCTGGGAGCGCAATGACCATTGATGAGTGGGTTTTCTCAATTCGAGTCTCTGCTCTGGAGATCCAGCGGGGAACCTGGGCAAGTTGGAAGTTCTCTCCATAGTTGCTTCTAATTTCGGATGCTACCAGTTGTCCTGCCTCGACGCCCTCTCCGACCGTTGTGGGGATTCCGTGGATAAGGAACTTTGACCATTTGGAGTTTGCCCGGATGGTGGCGACTGGTACTTGTAGGGTGAGGAGAGCCTCCTCAATTTCTTTGGCATATTCCATTGCCTTTGTTGCTGGGGTAACAAACTTTGTTTCCAGGATAAAGTTATCCTTGGGTGTTCTCCTTGCTGAAATAAAGTGGCAGGATTCGTCTTGAATTCTTGCATTGACTAGGGTCCTGATCTCGGAGGGATTGACATCGGATGGAGCAGTGGTTTCAACAATGATTTCTCTGTTGATTTTGGTATATTCTGGCTTGAAGAGAGGGTCCGCTTTTGGCTTTGCGGACTTCTTTCTTCTCTCGACAACCTGGAAAGTTCCTTGAGCAGGACCGGGTGCCGAGGCCACGGCAGCCCAGGTGCCTGCTTTCCATCCACGGGGTGGGGCTTGTTGGGGGGGTGCGGGTGGGGGGGCCTGAGGGGCTGCCTGAGGCGCTGCTTGGGGAATTATTTGAGGGACCGCTGGAGGGGGCATTCTCTGTCCCTGCGGTTGTTGTTTTCGCTGTTGTTGCTGTTGTTGCTGTTGTTGTGGTTGTTGTTGCGGTTGCTGCGGTTGTGGCTGTTTATTGAGGAGAAGATGGATCGCCGAGTGCATACTGGTGATCATAGTTGTCTGCGCCTCGATTTGGTGCCTCAGTGTATCCACTGTTCTCCGGAGTGTGGTTGTTTGTTCTTCGAGGATTTCAATCCTGTCGGTGGGTGGGCAGATTCGGCTGGTGGCATGTCTAATGGCCCAGGTAATATAATTCAGGTCCGTTTGGGTGTGAGTATCTTGGGGGACAATGCTCGGGTAGAGGTAGTCGACTCTCGGTTGGTAGGGTTCGTTGTAGTCGGATTCTGTTGCAAAAGTTGAGGAGAATTCCTGTTCTTGAGCTCCGGATGGGGTTGGGTCGGGAACCTGAGTGTTCCTGATCTGCGAGGGGGCTGTCCCTTGCTGGGAAGACTGGGTGAAAAAGGACTGGAGCGAAGCTTGCTGCGACATGATTGAATGTCCAGTTCTCCTGGCGGCGTAGAGTGACGTTTCGGAAAGGTTTCTTTTCCTTCCTTTCGGGAGGTCAAGGCTGGAGAATTCTTCGCTAGAAGCCAGTTTTCGTAGGTTTCTTTCGCTTGGAACAACAAAACAAAACGCGACCGTACGATCGGGGACGAAGTGGCTCAGCCTGGTATGGTATACCAAGGTAAACCGAGAGGAATAAAAAATAAAATGTTTTTGAAGCGAGGTTTATTGTCAGGAAGTTTTGCGAGCCTTAGCGAGCAAGGAGAATACAGAGGTTGCGTAAAGAAAGAAGGAAAGAGAGAAAACAAACAAAAGCACGAAACAACGTCCCCTTATATATCCAACCATAGTCCGATGATGACTAATACTTCCGCATAACAGAAACTAAAAGAACATAACAGAAATCCTCATTACAAATCCTAATCCCACTACACAATACCTCCTCTTCTCGTTCCACTTTATCACCTAGCCGAAATACATAGTTGCCGTTACATCACTAGAGTTAGCGGATGGTAATCGATCTTCTTCAACGAAGTAGTTCAGGTAGAGTATGAAGTCACGATTGAGTAGTGTAACGGGGGTCTCTTCTAAGAGAAATAGAATAGGATAAAATAGAGACGGCTGTGCAAGATAGACAATCAGGTTGCAGATTATTCAAAGATACTATCGCTAGAACTCAATAATCTTTAAGGGCTCTGCTACCGATGAGTACTTGGTTTTTCTTTCTGATGAAGACTGGAGAGAACAGGACTGAAGGGCGAGAATGAGCCTGAGTACTTATACTCCGAAGACTTTTATTCTCTGCTCCTAACTCCTTATTAAGTTCCCGTGAAGCCTTTCCTCGGTTGGGGAAACAATACCACCGCTACTTCACTTTTCTCTAAGCGTCAGCAGGTGTTTCTGATACCCAAGGCAACCACCCTTAGTCAAAGCCATTGTAACACCTGCAGCTTTGGTTGCTACACAACCGGGGTGTGCATGAATGAATTATCACTCAGGTGTAAGCTTAATCGTTGCTGTAGAGCTTCTGCTTATTTTAGACTTCCCAGGCATAGTCCCTGCCGCTACCGGCGGAACTGCATGCTTAGAGGATGCAGAGGATCACCGGGCATTTAGAGCTTCACTCTGGCTGGTCTCCTAGTCACTGGCGAGGCATAGACTCGTCAGTCATTGCTCCTATGAATAGATCCTCTTCCTAGCGCCCAGAATGTACTTACTCTAACAGCTGATAGCTAACTACACTGCCGGTAGATCAGCAAGCTCAGGTATTACCCAGGGCGTAGCCCCTTCAAGTTCGTCCTGGCTGTAACGGCGCCATTTCAACTGTCTAGTGTATGAGTACACACAGGGCCTGGTTACATGCTGAGAGTTATTGTTAGAAGTCAGTTGCACGGTGATATGCAAGTACCGGCAGTGTGGTTAGCTACCAGCTGTTAGAGTAACTACATTCCGGGCGACAGGAAGGGGATCTATTCATGAGAGCAATGACTGACGAGTCTGTTACGGGCATGCCAAGCATTTACGGGAGTAAGAGAAAGGGTAGTAGATAACCCCAACATCCTCTAACACTAACTGGAACACCACTATCAACTCCGGTTCGCACCTACGAGGTACGGTGCGATCAATATGCGACCAAATGCGGAGTTGCGGTTTTCCTAGTTAAAAGCACTTTTTCGACCCCAATAATAACCCCCGGAGCGTCAAACCACCGGAGAGGAGTGCCTTTGGACCGGTGGATATATGAGGGACAGCTGGAAGCAATCGGATGGAAGATCGGATCACTCGGAGCGGATCGGCCCAAGCTACCAGCTGACCGAGTACCTGTTGGCGGTACCTGTAGGCATGAGAGGACTTTGCTATGTGGGAAAGCGATGTGGGAAGAGGCCTGAGTAGGTAGCCTTGCCGTCCGAGACCTACGAGTAGCCGACGCTGACGATTATTCACCAGATTGCCGATGGAGAAGAAACATCGACAGGGAAATGTGCATTAGAACGGGTAAATAGGTTGAGGAGTTTTAGCGGGCTTAGGAGTTTGGGTTATGGACTTAGGAGTTAAATGTTCTTGGTTGTTTTTCAGGGTCTCGGGCAGGCCCCGAGTATATTCTGTATTATTATTAGACTGAGTCCTCGAGACATACGCGAGGGATATAAATACGGTGTCATTCACTGACTAGCCAAACCATCATCGGCGAAATCAGAGTCTTAACAATATAAATCGTTGATACGCGAGTGTTACGGGCATGCCAAGCATTCACGGGAGTGAGAGAAAGGCTACTAGATACCCCAATACCCTCTGTATGCTAATGTCAACTCTGGACCGCACACACAGGGTGTGGTGCGACAAATATATTACCAAAACACGGAGTCATAAAAAACACGTTTTCGACCCCAATAATAACCCCCGGAGCGTCAAACCGCCGGAGGGGAGTGCTTTTGGACCGGTGGATATATGAGGGACAGCTGGAATCAATCGGATCGAAGATCGGACTACCCGGAGCGAATCGGCCCAAGCTACCAGCCGACCGAGTACCTGTTGGCGGTACCTGTGGGCATGAGAGGACTCTGCTATGTGGGAAAGCGATGTGGGAAGAGGCCTGAGTAGGTAGCCTTGCCGTCCGAGACCGCCGAGTAGCCGAGACTGACGATTATCCACCAGACGGCCGATGGAGAAGAAACATCGACAGGGAAACGTGCATTAGAACGGATAAATAGGTTGAGGGGTTTCAGCGGACTTAGGAGTTTGGGTTAGGGATTTAGGAGTTAAATGTTCTTGGTTGTTTTTCAGGGTCTCGGGCAGGCCCCGAGCGTATTCTGTATTATTAGTAGACTGGGTCCTCGAGACATAAGCGAGGGATATAAATACTGTGTCATTCACTGACTAGCCAAACCATTATCGGCGAAATCAGAGTCTTAACAATATAAATCGTTGATACGCGAGTTACAACTTTATTTGACTATACTATTCGAATACTTTACTCTATCGTGACTTCGCACTCTACCTGAACTATTACGTCGAAGACGGTCGAATACCATCCGCTAACTGTAGTGAATCTTTGTTGATAACGTAGCTCGCGGGGTCCGTATCGGATCAAGGAGATTCATACTCGACGTTGACTGAAGAGACCTTGGAGACTTCTACCTTTGTAGCTGTTAGCCGAACTCTGAGCTCTGCGTAGTGTACTCTTGTGGTCTGGTACGCATCCCTCACAACCTATATATGGATTGTCTCAAATTGAGTTGAAAGCACTACGGGAATATCTTGATGAAAATTTACCCAAAGGATTTATTCGAGCTAGTGAATCACCAGCGGGAGCACCTATAATGTTCGTAAAGAAAAGCGATGGAACCCTTCGACTTTGTGTTGATTATCGAGGCCTAAATGCGATTACAATCAAAAATCAATATCCATTACCATTGTTAAAGGAAACCCTGGCTAAGCTGTCAAGAGCAAAATACTATACCAAGTTGGATTTATGTTGGGGATATAATCAAATCAGGATAGCGGAGGGAGATGAATGGAAGACGGCATTCCGGACTCGATATGGACATTTCGAATATACAGTGATGCCGTTTGGATTAGTTAATGCCCCTGCTACATTCCAAGATTGGATCAATGATATTTTACGTCCCTATCTCGACCAATTCGTAACGGCATACTTAGACGATATCCTTATTTATTCTGAGACTCTATCAGAACATAAAGAACACATTCAAAAGGTTCCAAAGGTACTTGATGAGAATCATGTTCACCTTAAACCTGAAAAATGTGAATTTATGGTTCAAGAGACGAAATATCTTGGTTTAATTCTTACCCCGAATGGGAATAGAATGGACCCAAAGAAAGTCATCGATGTTTTGGAATGGTCCACACCCACGAATCTTCATGATGTTCAAGTATTTCTAGGATTTGCAAATTTCTATCGACGGTTTATTCTAGGATATTCGAAAATTGTTGCTCCACTTACAGCCTTGACCAAGAAAAATGTTAAATTCGAATGGACGGATGATAGGGAGGAAGCATTTCAAACTTTAAAAAAGATGTTTACAACGGCGCCAATCCTAACTCATTTTAATCCAGATCGAAGAATTGTGATAGAAACCGATGCATCTGATTATGTTTCAGCAGGAATCCTATCTCAACGTGATGACGAAGGAATCCTACATCCAGTCGCTTTCTTCTCCAAGAAACATTCTCCTGCAGAATGCAACTATGAAATCTATGACAAAGAACTTTTAGCAATCATATGATGCTTCGAAGAATGGCGACATCACCTGGAGGGAGCTCAATTTCCAATCGAAGTTTTTAGCGACCATCGAAATCTTGAATATTTTATGACAACAAAATTGTTAAATCGTCGACAAGCGCGGTGGTCCGAATTCCTTTCACGCCTCGATTTCGTTATACAATTTCGGCCAGGAAAACAAGGAGCGAAACCAGATGCATTGACTAGGAGGTCAGGTGACCTATCTAAAGAGGGGGATGAACGGTTGACGCATCAGAGTCAAGTGATTTTGAAGTGAAAAAATTTGGATACAAAGCTAAGTTTGTTCGTGGGTTCTTTGTCAAATGAATCCGCTGAAGGAGCGTCCACTATAGAGGAGTTATTTTCAAAAGCTTATCAAGTTGATAGTTTTCCAAACAAGATCCTCGCTACGCTTCGGAATGGCGTTCGCCACTCGAAGAAAATTTCGCTTGCCGAATGTATGGAAGATAACAACGGTCGGCTACTTTATCGAGGCACGCTATATGTACCAGACGACAATGACCTTCGATTAAGGCTTTTAAAAGAACATCATGATAAACCATCCGCAGGACATCCGGGTAGAGCAAAGACATTGGGACTTCTAAACCGAGAATATTATTGGCCACAAATGCGAAAATATGTCGACCAGTACGTTAGGAATTGCAATGTGTGTGCCCGTAGCAAGGCACCACGCAATGTATCTTATGGAGTACTCCGTCCTATGCCGATACGTTGTAAAGAACCATGGGCGAGGCGAAAGCTGAGGGGTCGAGGGACATGACTTGGTTCCCCAAGGGGAAGGATAGGTCTCGCGCGAGGGCGAGAGATGGGGCAGTGGTATACCCGAAGGCAGGGACAGCGATCTGTATCAGGACAGAGGAGAGGACAGCGACGAGGGCCGAGAGGGACGCGGCGATGAACAGGGAGGCGGCGAAGATCATAACAGCGGATGCACAGGGCATGAGGGGCAGCAGACGTAACGTGAACTGGGAGTAAAGTAATGTATTGAAGCGAAGTAAATCCCCCAAAGTAATGACCCAAAGTAGAATACAAGATGTTGCGTAAGGAAAAGAAAGAAAGACAACAGAAGACACAGGCGACTCTTTATAGTAAGGAAATAACAACCGATTACTAATCCCACGGAACCTTCCAGACTTCCTAATAACTCATACATTTAATACAGCAACATAGTTCGTAACAGTTTAGCTCCCCCCCCCAAAGGGCGAGCTCCTGCGAGCAGACAGACAAAAGCAAAGTAATAATAAAAAAGAGAAGGCAAAAGAAAAGAAGAGAAAAGAAGAAATAGAAAGAAAAGAAAAATTTAACTAAACACATAGAGAAGACCGGCACCGAGGGTCGTAAGATTACCATTTCCCACGTTGGGTCCTCTTAGGAACTAAGGCGGGTTTGGTGGGGTAGAGGGAGTGAAAGCGTTGCAGCGATCCTAACTCCGCATCGAGGTTCCGGGCGGGTTCCCAGGTGGGTTGTTCATAGCCTGTCCATTTGACCAGGTATTGTAGTTGCCGATGACGTATCCGCGAGCCTAGCACCTCCTGCACTTCAAACTCCTATTCCCCTTCGACGACTACCGGTGGCGGGGGTGGTTGTATGTGGCCAGGAAGAGGCTGCGTTCGGGCGGGTTCTAGTAGGGAGACGTGGAACACCGGATGGGACTTCATCGATGAAGGGAGTTCCAGTCGGTAGGCGTGAGATCCAATGCGTTCGAGTATTTTAAATTTCCCTAAGGGTTTATGGTCCAATTTGTCTGATGGCCGAGTAGTTCGTATATGTTTTCGCGACAACCATACCAAATCCCCTACCTCTAGTCGTGGTTCGGGGAGTCGGGCGGTATTGGCGCTATCAGCAGCGGCGGCTTGGGCGTACAGGATCTCGGATCGCAATGCGGTCTGTAGGGTGGTGATCGAGTCGGCAAATTCTACTACTTCCTTCGGCGTGGCTTCGTGTCTTTCTTCGGCGGGTAGGACCTCTAATTGGGGATTATACCCATAGTTGGCGAAGAAGGGGCTAACCCCTAAGGGCTCCGTGGTGGCGTTATTGTGCGCGAACTCTGCCAGCGGGAGAAACTCTGCCCAGTTGTCCTGTTGGTAGTTGACGTATCCCCGTAAGTACTGTTCCATAATTGCATTTACTCTTTCGGTCTGTCCATCGGTTTGTGGGTGGAAAGCGGTACTGAATCGCGGTTTGATGTCCAATTGGTTGCACAGTGCCTTCCAAAACTGCGAGGTAAAGGTCGTACCCCTGTCCGATACTATGTCTTTTGGCAGCCCGTGAGATTTCCAGACGTGTTGTAGGAATAGGTGGGCCAGTTCGGGGGCGTCCGCGGTATCTCTAGTGGGGATGTAGTGGGCCATTTTGGTGAGTCGGTCAACCACTACGAGGATGGCGTTGGATCCTTGGGACTCTGGTAGGCCGGTAACATGGTCCATTGACAACGAGGACCAGGGTTTAACTGGGGGAACGAGGGGTTTAAGGAGGCCATAAGGGGCGTGTCGGGCCGGCTTGATCCGGGTACAGGTGTCACAGTGATCCACATAGCGGGCGACATACTTTCGCATTTGGGGCCAGTAGTAGTTCCGTGACAGGAGTTCCAGCGTGCGGGCGCGTCCCGGATGTCCGGCCGAAGGTGCATCGTGGTTGGTGCGGAGGATCTCCAGCTTGATAGCGGCGTCATCGGGGATATATAGTAGGCCCTGATAGTATAGTAACCCATCCTTAATGGTGCATTCCCCGATGGGGAGGAAGCGAGAGTGTTTCTTCCTGGCGATGATGTCCTTCATCAATTGTTTGGACAGCGGGTCGTTGGCTAACGCAGCCTGCAGTTCATCGTGGCGGTCGGGTGATACCTTGGCGGGTCGGGGGACCTCTAGTACGGCGGCTAGACGGAGGTTCTTTGGCTTAAGTATAACCTGATGCTGTTGGGTCAGTCTTTCATCCCCTTCCTTAGGGAGATCTCCAGATCGACGTGTAAGGGCATCAGGTTTTCCATTCTTCATCCCCGGTCGGCAGGTAACCACAAAGTTGAAGGAAGACAGCATTAGGGACCAGCGAGCTTGGCGACGGTTAAGAATCTTCGTGGACATAAAGTGTTCCAGGTTCTTGTGGTCGCAGTATACCGTAATCTCCTGGTTGCTCGGTTCCAGGTACTTTCTCCATTCCTCAAACGCATGAACAATCGCCAGCAGCTCCTTGTCATAGATGTCGTAATTGCATTCGGCTGGTGTCATCTTATGGGAGTAGAAGGCCACTGGGTGTAGAATTCCTTGGTCGTCTTTCTGGGAGAGCACGGCGGCCGCGACAAAATCGGAGGCATCGGTTTCCAATATGCAGGCCCGTTCGGGGTCGAAATGCTTCAGTATTGGGGCCGTGGTAAAAGCTTCTTTTAGTTGGGTAAAGGCGTGGTCCGCGGCGGAGGTCCATACAAACTGGGTATCCTTCTTTAGCAGGTTCGTCATCGGGGATACCACTTTGGAGTAATCGCGGATGAATCTCCGATAGAAATTGGCGAATCCCAAAAAGACTTGTATGTCGTGTACCGAGGTAGGTGTTTTCCATTCCTGTATCGCCTTGGTTTTGTCGGTAGCCATGGTAACCCCTTCGCCCGATATGATGTACCCTAAGTATTCCGTACGATCGACGTGGAACTCACACTTCTCCGGCTTGCAGTGGAGCCCCGCCGATTGTAGTTTGTCCAGGATGGTAGTGACATGTCGCTGGTGTTCCTCCTCCATGTTCGAGTAGATCAGGATGTCGTCGAGGTACACCGTGCAGAAGTCGTCGAGGTGGGTCCGGAGGGTATCGTTCATGAAGGCTTGGAAGGTGGCGGGTGCGTTGGTGAGTCCGAAGGGCATCACCAAGTATTCGAACAATCCATACCGAGTCCAGAAAGCGGTTTTCCATTCCTCCCCTTCCTTTATCCTTATCTGGTTGTACCCATTGCGGAGATCCAGCTTAGTATAGATCTTGGCGTCCTTGAGTCTATCCAGGGTGTCGTTAATCAGCGGCAGTGGGTAGCGGTTCTTGACCGTGAGGGCATTGAGGGCGCGATAATCCACACATAGTCGTAGGGAGCCATCCTTTTTCTTGATGAATAGGAACGGGGCTCCGGCAGGGGAGGAAGAAGAGCGTATGTAACCTCGAGTCAATTGGTCATCAAGGTATTCCCGAAGGGTCTTCAACTCTTCTGACGACATGCCGTATAATGGGCCAAATGGAGGTTGCTTGCCTTCTTGCAAAGGGATCTCATGGTCAATATACCGATGGATAGGGAGCGCTTGGGCCTCTGACTCTTGGAACAGGTGGAGGTACGGGTGGTAGGTGGTAGGGACCAATTCTTCGGTGGAGTTAGACTGCGTTGGGTTCGGACCGGCGGGGCGAGCAGCCAGGAGTAATAGGTGGTTTTCGGGCTGTTGTGCTTCCCTACGGAAGCGGGCCGCCGACAGGGTGATGGTACGGCGAGGAGCGGTAGGCCTTGGGGGTATCGGGGGTGGTGGCGAGGTGGCGGCGGCGGTAGATCTCGGAGGTATTGGTGGTGGCGGCAGGGTGGCGGCGGCGGCAGTCAGCGGGGAGGAAGTGAGGGTGGAGGTCCATGAGGCAGCGGTATGTTGTCTGCATCGGTCGGCGTGGAAGGAAAGGGATCGATCGGCAAATTGAATTTTGGCAGGGTGGTGTTGGAGCCAGGGGAGACCCAGTACTACCTTAGAGTCACCTAGTTGGGTGACGAATAAGGAGATCCCTTCTACATGGATGCCTACTTCGAGGCGGAGCTTGCAGAAATGAGTGATATCTCCAGAGGCGATAGGTCGGCCGTCGATTACCTGTAACTGCCTAGGCGCGGGAAGCGGCTCGGTGGTGTAGCCGCGGGAGTGGGCAAATGAGGCATCGATAAATCCATACCCGGTGGCTCCTGTGTCGACTAGGGCGTGGAGATTGTCCTTGTTCCTAGACAGCAGTATCGGTATCTCAAAGGGTTCACAGTCGCCTGGGTGGTGGAGTTGCCCAATCTTGAGTTTGGCACCTATCCGTCTTGACCGTAGTAGTCGCATAGCAGTATGGGGGCCGGGGCCGTTCTCGACATGGGCTGTACCACCGTGAAGGGTGACGAGTGCGGGGAGTAGTGGGGCTCCTAGCTGGTAGAGGGTGTTCAAGACTTTAACCGGTGATGGGTAGGGTCCCAACCCGGTGAGGTACGGCCGGAAGGGTAGGGGAGTGTGAGGGATGCGTACCAGATCACAAGAGTACACCACGCAGAGCTCAGAGTTCGGCTAACAGCTACAAAGGTAGAAGTCCCCAAGGTCTCTTCAGTCAACGTCGAGTATAATTCTCCTTGATCCGATACGGGCCCCGCGAGCTACGTTACCAACAAAGATTTACTAGAGTTAGCGTATGATGCTTCGACCGTCTTCGACGTAATAGTTCAGGTAGAGTTCGAAGTCACGATAGAGTAAAGTATTTCCAAAAGTATAGTCAAAATAAAGTTGTAACTCGCGTATCAACGATTTATATTGTTAAGACTCTGATTTCGCCGATAATGGTTTTGGCTAGTCAGTGAATGACACGGTATTTATATCCCTCGCTTATGTCTCGAGGACCCAGTCTACTAATAATACAGAATACACTCGGGGCCTGCCCGAGACCCTGAAAACAACCAAGAACATTTAACTCCTAAGTCCGTAACCCAAACTCCTAAACCCGCTAAAACCCCTCAACCTATTTACCCACTCTAATGCACGTTTCCCTGTCGATGTTTCCTCTCCATCGGCCGTCTGATGGATAATCGTCAGCGTTGGCTACTTGTAGGTCTCGGACGACAAGGCTACCTACTCAGGCCTCTTCCCACATCGCTTTCCCACATAGCAGAGTCCTCTCATGCCCATAGGTACCGCCGATAGGTACTCGGTCGGCTGGTAGCTTGCGCCGATTCGCTCCGAGTGATCCGATCTTCGATCCGATTGCTTCCAGCTATCCCTCATATATCCACCGGTACCAAAGCACTCCCCTCCGGCGGTTTGACGCTCCGAGGGTTATTATTGGGGTCGAAAACGTGTTTTTTATGACTCCGTGTTTTGGTCGTATATTGGTCGCACCACACCCCGCGGGTGCGGTCCAGAGTTGACATTAGCGTGCAGAGGGTATTGGGGTAGCTACTAGCCTTTTCTCATAAATGCTTGGCATGCCCGTAACAGCTTACCCCCCTTCCAGGGTGTCACGTCTCGGGACATCTTCTGACAGACTATGGTTCCAGCAAACCTGCTCAACATATCACCCGCGGTGTCTGTGGAGGGGAAGGACTTAGGCCCGTAGGGTACCTCTATAGTCTCAGGCGTTGGTCCTTCACGGCCTTGGGGTTCCTTCGATGAAAGTCGCGAACTAGATCAAGTACCTCCTCATTCATATCGTCCATAATTTGGTACGTGCAGTCGCTCATCGAATAGCCCCGCCATTTCACCAGGTATTCCACTAATCCTCTTCTACTTTTCAGACTTCCCGCAATATTTTCCACTTCATACAGAACCTCTCCTTCCTTATCGATGTCTTCGGGAGTTGGGGGACGTTGTTCACGGCCTGGGATACTGCTCTGTCGGTAACGTTCCAAGAGTTCAATGTGGAAAACGTTGTGGATTTTGACTTGTGGTGGCAGTTCCAATTCGCAGGCTCGTTTCCCGGCTAGTCGGACAATCTTAAACGGGCCGAGTTTCTTATGATCGAGTTTCTTGGTGGAGCGACGTGTCTTGATATTGGTCGCGTTAAGCATAACCATATCTCCCATCTTGAAGTTAGGCGGTTCGTCCCTTTTCCGATCATAATATTTCCCCATCTTCTCCCTGGTGTCTGTTAAGCGAGCGAGAGCAGAATCGTGGACCCCTCGGATGAAGTGAGCATACAGGTCACTGGTTGGGTTGACCACTTCGGCTTCCGTCGGCCAATTGGTTCTTGGGTTGTAACCGTAATTGGTATAGAACCGAGATTGACCCGTAGCGGTGGTAACCGAGTTGTTGTAAGCATATTCCGCCAACGGGAGTAGCTCTGCCCAATCATCTTGCTCGTAATTACAGAACACTCGTAGATAGTGCTCGAGGGTTTGGTTGACCCGCTCTGTTTGCCCATCGGTCTGAGGGTGGAAAGCCGTACTCATTCTTATCCTCACGTCCAATAATTCCATAAGGGATGCCCAAAAGCTTGAAGTAAACTTGGCGTCCCTGTCGGAAACTATATCAAGAGGCAGCCCATGGAGTTGCCAGATTTGACCGGGGAACATCTTCGCTAAATCCTGCGCGGTCGTTTCCGCTACTAGGGGAATAAAGTGCGACATCTTCGAGAACCTATCGACTACTACCCAAATTTGGTTATATCCCTTTGATTCCGGTAACTGCACGACGAAGTCCATTGATATCGATTGCCAGACAGAATGTGGCGTGGACAGTGGTAGGAGCGCACCGTATTTATTATGGCAGCTGGGTTTGTTGCGCTGGCACTCGTCACATGACCGAACGTAATCATCAATCCACTCGTTCATTTTTGGCCAATAGAAGTTACGCGTGATGAGTTCCAAAGTTTTATCTTGTCCAAAGTGTCCTGCCACCTTCGAGTCGTGTTCTGCCTGTGCGATTCGGATTTTGATACGGTCGTCTGCCGGAATATAGAGTCGGTTCTTATAGAAGAGTAGCCCGTCTTTCTCAGCAATATCTTTCACTTCCCCCAGCTTCTCTCCCTGCTCAATTCTCTCTTTCAATCCTACCCATGTCGGGTCTCCCGATGCCGCCTGCCTGACATGATCCAGAAAGTTCTTAGACCAGTCAATCACCCCCTTTGTTACGGGCATGCCAAGTATTTATGAAAAGGCTAGTAGATACCCCAATACCCTCTGCACGCTAATGTCAACTCTGGACCGCACCCGCGGGGTGTGGTGCGACCAATATACGACCAAAACACGGAGTCATAAAAAACACGTTTTCGACCCCAATAATAACCCCCGGAGCGTCAAACCGCCGGAGGGGAGTGCTTTGGTACCGGTGGATATATGAGGGACAGCTGGAAGCAATCGGATCGAAGATCGGATCACTCGGAGCGAATCGGCGCAAGCCACCAGCCGACCGAGTACCTATCGGCGGTACCTATGGGCATGAGAGGACTCTGCTATGTGGGAAAGCGATGTGGGAAGAGGCCTGAGTAGGTAGCTTTGTCGTCCGAGACCTACGAGTAGCCGACGCTGACGATTACCCACCAGACGGCCGATGGAGAGGAAACATCGACAGGGAAACGTGCATTAGAGTGGGTAAATAAGTTGAGGGGTTTCAGCGGGTTTAGGAGTTTGGGTTACGGACTTAGGAGTTAACTGTTCTTGGTTGTTTTTCAGGGTCTCGGGTAGACCCCGAGCGTATTCTGTATTATTAGTAGACTGGGTCCTCGAGACATAAGCGAGGGATATAAATACTGTGTCATTCACTGACTAGCCAGATCATTATCGGCGAAATCAGAGTCTTAACAATATAAATCGTTGATACGCGAGTTACAACTTTATTTGACTATACTTTTGGAAAGACTTTACTCTATCGTGACTTCGAACTCTACCTGAACTATTACGTCGAAGACGGTCGAATACTATATGCTAACTCTAGTGAATCTTTGTTGATAACGTAGCTCGCGGGGCCCGTATCGGATCAAGGAGATTCATACTCGACGTTGACTGAGGAGACCTTGGAGACTCCTACCTTTGTAGCCGTTAGCCGAACTCTGAGCTCTGCGTAGTGTACTCTTGTGGTCTGGTACGCATCCCTCACAGTATATTGTTACTCACAAGTTCACTTGGAGTAACGAAGTCACCTCAAAAAGAAGAACTATCATCATTATCCCTATCACAATGACTACCCGAAGGGATAATTATTTCATAGATACCTCGGCCGTAACTGAGGAGGCCGGAGGGGAAGATTCTATGGTAATATCGAGGGCTGCTAGCCCAGATCCCCTACTTACGGGAGGACCCTCTACACAAACTAGGTCAACGAGTAAACGCTCTGCTCAAGCCCAGTTCGTGAGGAATATGCAGGAGTTTTTGGATACCCATGAGGCACAAATGAGGTATCTTGGTGCAGCTGGACAGGCCGTTTGGCAGCAGCTACAAAACCTCCAGGAACAAGTCCAAGGGAGTGGGCAAATCCTGGATAAGAAGGCACGGCAAGAAGCCATTGCCCAAAAACAACATCTCGAATCGCTCTTTGAGCTCGTTGCCAATGTCCGACAAGTACAAGAAGCCGCACGAGCCGCCGACCATGAGGTTCTGGAGCGAAGTCATCATCAAACCCAGACCCAACTACAGGAGGCGGAGCGACAACTGAGGATGGTGAGAGAAGAGCGGGAGCAGGAAAAAGGGGAGCAACGAGCTTGGTTTGCGCAATTCAAGCGGTCCGATGAGGAGAGAAACCAACGAATAGCCGAGATGGAGGAACTACTGCGACAACATCTGTCAGTAGCACCTTCCGTGGCTAGTGCTCCGCTAGACCCTAATGCACCCCGAACGGTTCCTGTTGGCAATGGCAAGAAACCCCAAAATGCTGGCCCCCAAACCTCAGGGAATGGCAAGCAACCAGAAGAAGCAGGCCCAGTTGGTGGAAACGGAGGCAAGCAACCGGAGGACGCCGGCCCAGTGCAGGGAAACAGTGGCAGGCGACCGGTAGGAACTGCTCCTGTAGGAGGGAATGGTGGAAATCTACCTCCCCGAAACCCACCAAGAGGAAACTTTGGGGGAGACCCAGAACCTTCCGATGACGATGACGACGATAACAGCGAATGGTCGCATGGTCGGAAGAATTGGAGAATGAATCGAGGCGGGAACCGGAATACGGCGCCGCCTGAAGACGAGGATATGGTAGATTCGCTCGCCAAAATACCCTTTGAGTTCGATAATGCCAGGAAGCATAACCTGCGGCATTGGCTCATGGAGTGCGAGATCTACTTTGAGCAGAAGCCTAAGAAGTTCCGAACGGACAGGAACAAGGTACTGTTCGCTGGAACGTATACGTGTGGGTTGGCAAAGGAATGGTTTATG